GATTGTCTGGCCTTTTAATGAGCATATTGATGGATATATTTCGAACATGTGATGAGTCTTGCAAATCTCGTGCAATTCGAACAGCTTGGTTGAATTTTGACGACCATATCATCACACTCTTTGTCTGGTACAAATCCCAAAATTTATTCACAAGATTAACATTGAAAGAAATGTTCGTTTGCCTCAGAATATATATGAACTGTTCAGGCTCTGGGTAAGAAATTGATGGAAAGGCCCATGATGTTGTAATACCTTGTAGGACCTTCCTTGTATAACACACGTGTACACACTGAGCCCCTCCCCCAACCCGCCCAACTCCCTGTCAACAGAAGACATGTAATATACTTCAAACACTGTACACAATGAAGTATAACACTGCCTCATAGCAGTATAAATAAGTTGTGCTTAAATTCTTCTTTTTGTATTGAAACATGGATTGACACGATGTATCAATTTATCGATTACAGAAGAGACAACGTGCGAAATGGATCGCAAATACACGTATGTAGTTTCAGTGAACAGTTGTCAGTGCAAACAATTCTGTTACGTTCCCAACATAATCAGACAGCACTTGGGCGAGAACGGCCTGGGTCCATTACAAAGGAGTTTAAACAGAGTACAACATGTTTGGTCTGTCATCGATCTGGTGAAGGTTTTATAGTAATCTCCGGTCTTCCCCCTGCAGCTAGTGCAGGAATAGCATTGTCCTCTCATGACCAGTTATGTCATACACAACCCATTGTGTGATATATTTGTGAGTAACACCGCAATATTGATGATGGTGGCTTGGATAACGTCGAGTCTGGACCACACACTCAAGTGATTGATATAGCGAGCATCTATCCATACCGTCGGGTAAGATGGCCCGCAACCAAGTCCCTCAGCCTTACCATCCGGTCTGTATAGTCGCTTAAGTCATTACGACCCGCTCTGAGAGCTGGAGACATCTTCTTACCAAGATTCCACTCGAAGATGTTAGATGAGAACTTGAATTACTACACCTGGATTGGGATCTGTTTAAAGGGTCTTTGACATTGATTGAGCTTGAGACTTGTCGACGTTAACAGTTTCATGCTTTATGTGTAGCATTTACAATTATATTCATGACTCGAGTTTCCATAATACTTGGGGCTCATATTTGCCTTATATTGTCTAACATACCATAGCTCAGCATTGTTCGGGAGGTAGTAAACAGACAGACAACTAGCCCAGGAGGGTTCCTCTCATATGTAGGCGATCACAGGGAAATAGGGCTTTCATATTGTCACTTGATTGTCTGATGTGTTTACAGGTGCCCGTCGCATGGCACGACTACTGTTGTGTGCTGTCGGGCTGTTTATAAACTAGTGCTCAAAAGAAACTATACACCGCAAAATATTATATATAAGTTCACAAAAATAAAAATGATGTGACAAAACAATACTGAGCCTTGTCACACACGCACAAACCCACCCTTTCAGGGAACAAATGGCGAAACAAGTTAAGGAATAGCCTAAATGCCGCAAAAAGTCCAAAACGACTTTTTCTGATGTCACACCAAATGCACGTGCATACTGACGGCATAAAACAGCCTACGCAGTAAAAAGAACACCAAAATATGCCACGTTTGAGGTTAAATCAAAACAGAGGGAGAGAGAGAGCTGGCGGAATTGCCGAAGAAGGTGCAATACGTTAGACAGGCCTAGCAGTGGTCACCACGTGTGAGAACGCCTGGTGATGATCGCCACATCCGGAGAAACCATCTGAGAAATCGTTTTGTAACGAAGACGTCAGCGGCAGCGACGGCACGAGGACACCGTATCAGTCGACATACAGTGTACCGGCGACTGAGAGAACATGGCATTCGAGCACCTCGACCCTACCGCGGAGTGCATCTGACTCTTCAAAACCGACGTCGTCGATTGACATGGGCCAGGCGAGTTCGACGTTGGCAGATGCGTGATTGGCGACGTGTGATGTTCACCGACGAGAGTAGGTTTTACCTGTACAGTAATGACGGCCGGGCTCGTGTTTACAGACAAGTAGGTGAACGTTTAGCGCAACATTGCGTTCAGCAAGTCCGACCGTTTAGAGCCGGTAGCGTGATGGTGGGGGGAGGTATCTGAGGCGATCTCCAAACGAGACTTGTGATTATCCATGGCAACTTGAATGCTCGAAGATACAGGGGTGAAGTTTTGCGACCACTTGCGTTGCCGTTTATCCAGCAACAACCACATGGCATTGTCTACCAACACGATACCCCAAGGCCTCAAACAGCAAGAATGACAAACGACTTTCTGCATAACGCTAACATCGTTGTTTTGCCGTGACCAGCATGTTCTCCCGACATGAATCCGATAGAACGCTTATGGGACTACCTGGATCGACATATCAGAAGACTAAACCCGTCACCGCTCAACAACTGGAACAATGTCTCATACAGGAATGGCAACGGATCACGTCTAAAGTCATTTGTCGTCTTACGTCATCCATGCGTCGACGTGTTTTGGCGTTTTGAAGGCAATGGTGGTCACACTCACTATTGATTCAACATTTTGCCGAAAAACCCGCCTTGTTGATTTGTGTAAAAGTTGAGACTACGATACCACATGTTTTTCAGTATCAGTCAAACGGTGCTTTCAACTTTGAATGAAATGAAATTGTGTACATTTGCTGTAGAATTGTGTACTCTATTGAAATTAAACAGATATTCATTTACTAATTTAAATGCTCTTGTTATATTTTTCAAGTTTGGTCAAACACACTGTATTTTCTTTGAGCACTTTTACTGACAGATTTTGGCAAGTTTGGTCAAACATACTGTATACTTTTACTTTGAGCACTAGTTCAGTGGTTCATGTCAGCTTGCTGTATATTTAAATCTGACTATGTTATTTTAATCTAATGGGAACAATCACAGATATTGGACGTTTCTGGTCAGCGCCAAGAGGTGGAGGTATCCCATTGTCTGGGAGGTTGTGGTGAGACCCCCCAGTCATGTATATTAACGGAGGATAGGCATCACCAGTGATGCAGATATCCTTGTTCTTGCTCCCACTCATGCAATATACTGCTGTCATGACAATGAGTTTAATTCAACGATGCGTTTAGGGAGTTGTGAAATAATTAAATCTTTAGAGCAGGTCTGACAGTAAGTCAGGTGTTGCAGCTGTCTCATTCTCTTTGATGGCTTTCCTTTGATCTAGGAGAGGTTTGTTATGGTAATGTAAACAAAGATATTCTGGTATTTTAATGTGGCCGGTGGAAAGTTAAGCTTTAAAATTGTATATATTTAAATGAGGCTCATCATTATGCATCAACTTGTTTCCAAGAATAGATATAGGATGGTTCCAAAATTAAATAAACAAGCACAGCAAACGCCAATCACTTTCCAGCTACAGGGGAAACCAGGATTCGGGGTGCGGAACACTCGTCGTAATAGGAAATTGTATATTGACTAAAACACAACATTTGTTTACATATTGACTTAAATATCTATGTTTCTTTATGTTTCTTTCACGAACCGATTAACCTTCTGTTATAACACACTGCAAATGTACCCGGTATTCTGTGGGAAATGTACTGACATATTTAATGTCACAAGGCGCCTAAACGCTGCCAGTAAGTTATACTTTGACAGATCGTAAAATGCGTTGAAGAAAATACTTAATTGTGAGTTACAGAAACACACCCAAATTGGTTATAAGGTACAGAAATACCCCCAGTCAATTGTGAGTTACAGAAATACAGCTGGTTGATTAAAAGTTACAGAAATACCCAAAGTTAATTGTGATTACACCCAGTCAATCATAAGTTAGGGTAACACACCTAGTTAATTGCGAGTTACAGAAATACACAAAGTCCATCATGAGTTACAGAAATACACCAAGCTAATTATAAGTTAAGGTAATACACCTAGTTAAATGTGTTACAGAACCACATCTAGTTATTTAATTATATGTTACAGAACCACATTTAGTTATTTCTGAGTTACAGAACCGCATCTAGTTATTTATATGTTACAGAACCACATCTAGTTACTTGTGAGTTACAGAAACACATCGAGTTATTTCTGAGTTACAGAAACACTAGTAACTTTGAGTTACAGAAACACATCTGGTTATTTATGTGTTACAGAACCACATTTAGTTATTTATGTGTCACAGAAACACATCTAGTTATTCGTGAGTTACAGGAACACATCTAGTTACTTGTGAGTTACGGAAACACGTTTAGTTACTTGTGAGTTACGAAAACACGTCTAGTTACTTGTGAGTTACGGAAACACGTTTAGTTACTTGTGAGTTACGGAAACACGTTTAGTTACTTGTGAGTTACGGAAACACGTTTAGTTACTTGTGAGTAACAGAAACACGTCTAGTTACTTGTGAGTTATAGAAACACGTCTAGTTACTTGTGAGTTATAGAAACACATCTAGTTATGTTTGAGTTACAGAAACACGTTTAGTTACTTGTGAGTTACAGAAGCACGTCTAGTTATTTGTGAGTTGCAGGAACACGTCTAGTTATTTGTGAGTTACAGAAACACATCTAGTTATGTTTGAGTTACAGAAACACGTCTAGTTATGTTTGAGTTATAGAAACACATGTAGTTACTTGTGATTTACATATCTATTACCTAGTGGAAAGAAAGTGAGCCATACAGGACCCTGTCGTGACGCTGCGGTGGTGTTTAGCAGCGTGTTCCGGAGCCGTACTGATCAACGAGAGCACGGCAGGTAGAACCAGTCGTCACTGTTACAACTATATCACGGCGGACAGTGGTCGAATCTGGTCAAGACAAACCAGTGGTCGTCTGAGTCTCCAGAGTCTGTTGTTATTTCAGTTTTAACGCCGACGTGAACACGATATAGCCAGCAACCCCCGTGAGCCCCATCCCGATACCAGGCGTGACAGCTACGGGACCCTAGTCTGTGCTGGTATCGAGGGGTTTAATCAATGATTTCACTACCACTGGCTGTAGTTGTACATAGGGAGGTGTAGATAAAGTCGGAACTTACTGTGTAACGCCGTGACCAAGAGAGGCAGCAGTCGTGTAGCCATGACGTTGTCTCGGCAGGTCGTCCCTGGACTGAATCACGACCGTCACTGTTGATCAATTACTCCGTCAATCGACCGTGTATGGAGACCTATTGCAATGTGTGTTGGAGCCACGCTATAACGACTGTTTTGTTCGAGTCAACGTAAACGGTATGAATAAACTATAACCGCCTCTCACTTCAGGCCCAAGGGACTCCACGGACATTGTTCACCTGTTGGCCACGGTCCTTTAAAGTAATATCACGTGATAGGCAATTCAGTTCGTCGGCAACGGTGAGTTACGTGCTGTTTTAATAACCGGGTATTAATTCAGTAAGACAACATGTCATTAATAGATTTTCTCTTTTGTGTAACCTAACATCAAATTGAAACTGTCCGCTTCTGAGACCGGATAAATTCTGTTCTCCTTCATGGCACTCAAAGTAAATGTTGATCTGGTTACCGTAAATCACGGGACAATCGCATCATGAAAGCATATGTACGTACACTAATCCCGTCTTTAGACAACCTATCGGCAATTAATTGTCGGTTAAAGGTAGAACTCTATGTTCGTACCTTTTTGTAACGAAATTCATAACTTCTCGCCAAGTTGTAAGGTCGAGTGTTCTCCTTCTGGAGACTGAAATCGTATTTGGAAATGTAATCAAACTAGAATAGATGACGAGTTAAAATTTCTATAAGTATGTGCTGATACGTTTTGGACTTAAGAGTCCATTTTTTCGGGCACTGGATTGCGATTTCAGGGATGATTACCTATAGTTAACACCCAGTGACCAGAGATCTGGGCAAACGCACGCACGCACGCACGCACACACACAGACTTATAAGATATTAATTGTGAAATGTTACTTGAGTTTGTATTTGTATGTTTGTATGTAGCTATTACTACGTACAGTTATAACGTATATAAATTATCACTGTAATACCTTGTTCATGTATTTACTGATTGCATGTTTATACAGTTAGTGACACCTGAGCCCGTACGACAAGGTGCTTTCACCACACCCCTTCGTTCCGATATATCACATTACAACACGGGACACTTTGATCAAATATTCTGCTTCTCTTTAATTAGGATGTTCATTACAGTCTGTACCATAGGCGGACTATGGACTGTCCAAATCATGTATATATTGAATCAAAGAAAGGCGACAGCGGTTCGTTCGTCCAGGTTTCTGTTGTTCATGGTGAAGAAATTAATCACGTTCATAACATGACCAGTAAATGATCTTTTGTTTGTGACACATAGGATACTTACTCGTTTGTTCGAATAAATTATTAACACGAAATCACCGCCTCCAATCATCTACTGTCCATATGCCTCTGTAAGTGAGGCGAGACAGTTATGGTTAGTGGTTATGGATAACTGATTAGTTTAGTTACAGTTTTCGGTAATACAGCAAATTCATTTAAGTGCTTTACATTTCTGGAACTCTCTTGATTGAAAAGTGAAAGAAATAACATTTCCCATGTTAAACATAAGAATTCTGAAACGAGCAAAGGCCCTGACAGAGCAGTCAACACACTACATACAAGGCCCTGGAAGGGCAGTCAACACACGACATACAAGGCCCTGACAGAGCAGTCAACACACTACATACAAGGCCCTGACAGAGCAGTCAACACACTACATACAAGGCCCTGACAGAGCGGTCAACACACGACATACAAGGCCCTGACAGAGCAGTCAACACACGACATACACGACATACAAGGCCCTGACAGAGCAGTCAACACACGACATACAAGGCCCTGACAGAGCAGTCAACACACACATACAAGGCCCTGACAGAGCACCCTGACAGAGCAGTCAACACACTACATACAAGGCCCTGACAGAGCAGTCAACACACTACATACAAGGCCCTGACAGAGCAGTCAACACACTACATACAAGGCCCTGACAGAGCAGTCAACACACTACATACAAGGCCCTGACAGAGCAGTCAACACACTACATACAAGGCCCTGTACATATTTCGGATCAGAAGGCCCATGGTTCGAATCCCAGCACGGGAATCGGAAATTCTATGGCTGCTACAGTAGGATGACTCCACGAACTGCTACATATATACAGAGATTATGGTGATAAAGTAGCATAAGAAGACTAGATCGCGATGCCAGTATTTCGATTTGGAATTCTGTCTCAAAATAGAGGGGGGACTTGTCAACTTCTGTATTATAAGGAACAGAACGATTCGGAGTAAAGTTTGTTATCTCGACCACCCATTAGAATCAGCCCTTGACACTTCACCAAATGATGTTCTCGTTGGAGACCTAAATGACGATTTGTTGAATATCAATGTCCACCACCTTCACGATATGATTGTGAGTAAAGATTTACGTAACGTCATTGATCAGCCAACACGTATCACATCAACATCAGCCACCCTTATTGTTACAACCCAGGACAGCGAAACCGTAGAAATTGGAGTTTTAGACTTTAGTGTCGATAACAGCGACCACAAGGGAGTTTATGTCACTCGATCCAATTGTATCAACTTAACAAAGTCTTATGCAAGGGATGTTTTACTATACGAGCAAGACATTACGAATGCCTAAACCAGCTTTTTGTTTCTATAGATTGGGAATAAAGGTTTAACAACTGCACATCGGTCAACGAAGCTTGCGACGCCCTAACTCAGATATTATGTAAAAGACTGCTTGCCCTCCTAACGAGTAATGATAGGGCCAAGGGACAAGACCCTGGTTTAACAGCGACATGCGGCGAGCAATCCATATTAGAGAAAGACTACGAAAGAGCAAATTTATCAAAGAATCCGAACGACGTTATGAGGTACAAAAGACGCAGAAATAACGTTAACAACCTCCGAACACAAGCAAAAGACAATGTCCACTGCAATCTGGATTAGCTTTTATCAACCGTATCGAAAGAAAACATTCAAACTATCGGAAATTACTTAGGTATATTTTAAAATATTCTGGTACTGCAACGTCCATAACCAAAACCCCCACCCCACCCCCCTCTGATGTTTCTAGCATACAACCTGCTTTTACGGATTCGGAAAATCCGAGGCATTGAATACTTATTTTAGTTCAGTTACAAATATCGACGATGATAACCATGTGCTACCCGATGTTTACAACATATGTGGTGCTAAGCTCCTAGAGTTTCACATTGAACATCATGATAACCGATTTGATGAAGTCACCTGTGAAAGTACATGGACACTAACAATGGGAGCCAGTTGTTAACGGGCACTGACAGGTGACGGCATTGTAGAAGCCAGAAGCAAATCCTCTTATGGGTAATTAACACTGAAGGTAATGGACAAAGGGAGGGCAAGGGGAATAATACCACTGATTGATGACAATCATGACATAGGAGCCAGCAAAGTGGATGGCACAGGTAATTACATTAACAAGTCCCATGAGCTGGGCAGGTAGTCTCCCTGGTTACGGTTGATAGCTGGATGGAATCTGACGTCTACGGCCTCTTCTCTTCCTTTGACGCAAGGTGTTGTTGAACAGGACTTTAGTAGCTTTCCACGTGATGGTGTGGTCTTGGTTCTTGCCATCCTCGATAATCTCCAGGGTATACTTTACGATCACTCTCCACCATACCCTGGATGCATCCACAGCTTGGCCCGATAATTATATTACCTCCCTTTGCTGGCTCCGCATTCTCACAGTAGCCAATCAGCGAAGCCGACGTTACATCCGAGCTTGCCAGTGTCAACAAAGATAGCGGTCGCAGTCGTGAAGGTTTGCTCGCAGTGCCACTCAGATTTTTGGGGGAAATAATACAGACAAATTGACAGATCTGAAACTTCAAAAAAATATAGTTTAAACAAATTTAAACGGTTAGATAATTAAAGAAGCGAAAGTGAGTTGTGATTGGTTCGCTCAATTTCCCAGCGTAGACACCTGATTGGATAAAAAGCCAGCAAAGAAAGGTAATAAAATAATCGGGCCAAGCCGTGGATGCATCCAGGGTATAGTGGAGAGTGATCGTAACGTATACCCTGAAGATTATCGAGGATGAGTTGTTGCTAATGTTTCTAAAATGGCGGATTTCTCGCCGAGTTTGATGACGGCTGTCTGGTGTTCTTTGAGTCCAATGTTGAGAGGTCTTAGAGTTCCTCCATACTACTGAAAACTGACCAGATAAAACAAGCCATCATCTACACGCTGACCCGACGTGCCAAGGTGGTCTGCCATCATCATGCAGTCTGCAGTGAACTGAAACACAAGAGGAAAACCTCCACTTTCCTCCCCACCCAGTCTCCAAAACCATTACCAAGAACCTCAAGAACTCCGAGCCAAGATCCAAACATGCGCCATCCCCCATCAAGTCACAACACCCTACCACGACCCTGTCAGCCACCAGACTTCCATCCCGCCTTATCAAGCCAACATACATACTGTACACGCCACCTTTTTCTGCGGCAAGACCGCGAAGACCCTTCGGCCGGACAATGGCAGACACACAAGCTTTAAACTTTGGGGTGGTGCAGGCCCCGAGAAAACCACAACTTAAGAACATGGCGTAGGATTCATTGTCTGGCGAAAGTCGCTATCTTCTACACGTTACCGACGGTGGTTGCCGCGTATGTTGACATCGTAAAGACGCATAACACTAGGAGAGGATCCAGTAGCTAAACCCTTTGGTGGTGACTCAGTGATGGTGTGGGGTGACTGCATGTTGGATTTCTTTACAGAACCTGGGTCACTCAATGGTCAACGTTACCAACAGGAAGTACTAGATACAACCGTGACGTTTTGATAACAATGCCCTAGGAAGTCGTTCTAAATTCATGAAAGACAACGCCAGAGGTCACAGGCCCCGAGGCGTCATCGCCCTTACAACACCCTTTGAACTATTACCATGGTCGGCAAGGAGCCTCGCCATCTACGCACACCCAGCGTGAGGAGCCGACTGGAAGTATTTCGTATAGGGATGGCTACACCAAGTACTGATGGCCACTAGAGGTTCATACATTCACAGCAATAATTACATGTATTTGAGAAGAGTGTGAAAATTAGATTCTACCAGGACATTTAAGTATGTTCGTTTTTGATTGGCTGTTACTAAAAAATTAGAAGTGAAAAATTTTCAATAACCACTTCTGAGAGCCGGTTCACTGCGCGTAGTGTAAAAACACTACTCAAGGGTAATGAGTGCATATTTCAAACGCGTTTTATTCATGGTGCATATATTCATAGTATATCACGCTAACGCGTTCGGTTTTAAATGACATTTAACAGCGTTCAACCAATTATAATC